GTAAATATTCAATACAAGTATTAAAGGAGAACTATACATGTTTTTCCTTCTTCTATAAAGGAGTGGGAAATAAAAATGCAGGCAAGAGAAATGAAATGCTGTACCTAGAAAATCTCCAAAGAAAAATAAATTACTTCTTTGTTAATAGAATTGAGTCAGGGAATGCTATTTGGTAACCTGCTTGCATCTATGACACACAGGTTTAATTATACACAGCTTAAAAAAAACCAGGAAGTATTTCTTCTTTTCACTTTTTAAGACATAATAAAGATTGTGTTAGGGGGATTAAGCAACCTGGGTGACCATTAGAATGACAAATTTCGTCATAAAACCATGTGGATCTTGAAATGCACAATATCTTAAGCCTTTAAAACCACTCTAGGAAATCTCTTGTGTGTTTTTATTGGTTTCTCTCAGAGATTATCCAAAGAGAGCTGCAAATTAAATGGTGGGATTTGGTATCACGGCAGGTACACTCTTGCCTAACAGTTTTGGGGGCTCCCTCGATGGATAACTTACTGGCCCACCAAGAGAGAAATAAACAAATACAGTTATTTTTCATCTCTGCAAGAAAATTTTGAAATGCCACCTGGGTTAACCTACCTAATTTTCATTATGAACTGTGAAAAAGACACATTTTTTCTTTTCAAAAGTGGGTTGGAGTTTCTCTTGTGATACTTTGGCAGTAACTGTCAAACTTTGTTTGATTCCTTGTAGTGCCAAGTTCCCCACCTCAGAACGTCTCCCTGGAAGTGGTCAATTCAAGGGTAAGTCGGCTAAATGTTCCTTACTTCATTACCTATCATGCGTGTATAACCTCCACTCGCCTAGCTGCCATCTTGAGTACAAGGTAGTGGCTTCCATGTGAAGAAAGGTTCTGCAACAGCAAAGTGAGTGGCATTGATCCCACATCCTCTTCCATCAGACTTAAATAAATCAAATGAGGTATTTTTTTACTTCTAGTATACTTGATTTTATAAATGTTATAATAGCTAAATGGTATTCCATCAGGAAACAAAGATGTCCCTGTTATTTGTACTCACCAATATATGACATAGGTCTGGTAACATGCTAAACAGAACAATTGAAAGAGGTGGGATAAAGAAAGGCTCTGTTTCCTAACATATTAATTAGAATTTAATGTGTCATCATTATCTCTCTTCTTCCCTTATAAATATAGTCATTGAAGGCCATTCTCAAAGCCCAGTTATGTTAAATTTATGTAGTAGTGTTACACAGTCATTAATATTTTCCTGGTCTGGAAAGTTGCTATGACTTTAAAAGGAACTTAAATTAGGCTAAGTCTCGCTGAAGAGAAGTAGCCTAACACCAGAAATCAGTTTTCTAGAGACACGTCATTGTTTTAAGTGTGTCTCAGGATTGAAAATAAGCCAAAGCCACCTAGCATAGTGGAGCAAGCAAGGATTGGTCTGGCTTGACCCTGTCATCACCCAGCTGCACACACTCTGGGAAACCATTTAACTATTCCTGGGCCTCATTTTACTTTTCAAGGGAGGCAATGGTTTAAGTGGTTTAAGAGGTTTCTAAACTCTGGGAGACAACAGGGAAATTACATGGGTCTTAGACACATACTCTGGGTTTTAATTCTAGCTTTCCCTGTTCATAACTGTATGTGGTCTTAGTAAAGTTTTCAACCTCACCGAACCTGTTTCTATGTTCAAATAGTGTTAGTGTTAATGCTTTCTTTCTTGGCTTATCATGAGAAAATAGTAATGCAATATATACAGTGAATCCAACTTAGTATCAGTAGCGACTGCTTCGTTCCATGTGCAATTCCTTGTCGTATTTTGCAAGAATCTGTGATGAAGCAATATTTTCTGACATTGTTTGGATTTGTCTCAGTCAAATGAATTTATCTTCTGAAGCTAGTGAAATGTCTCTAAGATTGTCATCCTCTTATATTTTTAGGCACCATATTGGATAAGAGCTAGAAAAACAAATATAAAATTAAAATAACTGAATTTAGGAAGAAAAATGAGCTAAAGGAAAATAACCTGAAATTAACATAACCCTAAAAAAGACATTTTTATCTGCAACAACATTTTTTACAGGTGCACCGCTCAAATTAAGACATTGTCAAGTCAAAGTCAAGTAGATTTTTACTATTATTATATGTTGTTAATGAATGAAATTTTAAAAACATATTGTTGTGTCTGTTGTTTAATGACTCAGCATTATTAGAATCTTCACTTCCTTCCAAATGTTTCCTCCAGGAAAGAACATAGAAACTGACATACAAGCTAGTTTGTGTTTGCGTATTCATATCCTTTAAAAGTGTACTCCAGCAAAAGATGAATGTTTTCTTCTGAAATGTGAATAAGTCATCGTTGAATGACCCTGGATGCTAACTGTATTTGAATATGGATTTACTATCTTCCTGAAGAGGGAATTCCTGGATTGTAAAATTGACTTTTCAACTCATTTATATATATGTATACAAATCTCCCAGCCCATATTCTTCAAGAATATGCAGTGCTTACAGCAAGCAAATACAAACACTTCTGCTTCTATCCTCTTGCAGTTGATCTCTGGAACACTGTGCTGCTAGAAAATTTAAATTGTTCAGCAGTTTTTTGAGAATGAATGCATCAGGCCTAGACACTGGAAAGTCTCTTATTCTCTCTACTTCTTTTTCTCTCTGTTATCTTATTTCCTAATTTCTAAAGAATTTTTCTTAGAAAGTTATCAAGAGGATAAAAACTTGATCAAAACACTGTTTTATCCATTCTCAATTTATTGATTTAGAGAAAGGCAAAATAATATTCTATTCTTATATTCTTCTTTGTTTGAAATAAAGGAAAAGTTTTCAAATATATTAGTATTTACCCCTGACTATTAACATTTCAAGGAACAAACTGTACTTAAAAAGAAACACTATAGTGGAATAAGTATTGTGTTTTCTTAGACTAACAGAATTATGAGTTTCTATGTTATTTATTTTCCTTGGGATTTTTCTTTAAGAGAGAAGGAACAGAGTCAAATTTCAAAATTTTATTCTATGTCTTATTTGTAAACGTAGAGCATAATTTATTGTTTTATTGACAATCAATGAAGAAATTTGGTACTACTAATATTTTTTCAGAGAGATAACTAGTATTTCTATAATTAGAACTGAAAAGTTATTATAAGGTATAAAGTGACAATTTTTAGGTACTTGTTAAGGTCATGGCCACCTATAAACCAATTGGACCCATAAATCATGTTCTGGACTATTCAAACAAAAAGGTCTTTATACATTTAGATAATAGAGCCAAAGGGCATTCTTACAATATATTAATAATTCCTGGAAACTCATGGAATGTGCTACCTTTACAAAACTGTAATCACAGAAAAGACTAGATTCCCTTTATGCAAGCTAACTGTGATACCAAATTCTGTATTGAAATAATGGCTTGACCTAAACATACTAGATTTCGGGTGATAACGGATCGTGATGAGACATATGTCTCATACCAAAACTTTTTACAAGAAATAACACCTTCACAAGGAAAAAAAATAATGGTTTACAGTATGGACTTTAAAATGTGACTGTGTTTATTAGAAAACATTTTTATAAGGATAATTTGCTTTGAAATTCAAGTATTTGAACAAATAAATATTACAACTAATTAGTTGGCTAGAATATAAAGCACATGCTTACAGAATTTAAAGAGCTAATGTTGACATATAGCCACTTTCCTATGTTCCAATTGGAACGTTCTGGGAGTAAGAACATTTAGGGTATGCTAGGATTCAAGATACTTGGATTCTTTTAGTACTTCTTGGAGACCTTGGAAAGTCACTGTGTCTCAATTTTATTTATTCATTTAACATTTACTCTGTACCTACCATAATATCACATATAACACTGGGGATATGATCCGGACCTTGCCTTCATGGAGTTCACAGTTCTGTATGAAAACATGTGAAAGAAAATTCTTCTATCCATACTTAATCTATCGTAACCCTTCAAAGTTGACATTATATCCTCATTGATAAAAGGAAAGGGTTGGAGGGAGTATCCTATAACCTCTTGCAACTCCAATCATCTCTGACTGTATTTCCACTTACTACACCCTTTTTCAATCACTGTATCTTTACAGAATTAGAGAAAACAGCACAAGTAAATTGATTAGAGTATACTGGATCTAACTCACAAGTCCAGATATTTATCCATTGAGCACTGCAGGATGATTACAAGGAATGAAATATTAACCTTCCCTCCTCCCTTCCTCCCAAAAACCAATATGTCACATGGCACGGGTCATTTTTAAATCTAGAAATCTAAACAATGCAAAATGGTGGTTTCTTCTCATTCTATCACCTCACCCCTCTTCATCATTGCAATCCTTATCCTTGAACACCAGATACATCTATGAGAATGTCTTTTTGTTGCATTTGTAAAAGCTGACACTCAGTCACTCAAAATGACAGTGTATGTGGTACCTTCAATGCAACAGTAGAAAAAGTTACTGGTATCTCTGATATCTTCCTTCATTTTTTTTTTTTTAGAAACAAGGGCTTGTTCTGTCTCCCAGGCTGGAGTACAGTGGCTGGATCATAGCTCACTGTAACCTCAAATTCCTGGGCTCAAGTGATCCTCCCAGCTCAGCCTCTCCAGTAGCTAGGACTACAGGCACGAGCCATCATGCCCAGCTAATTTTTTTTTTTTATGTTTTGTAGAGATGGGGTCTTGCTGTGTTATCCAGGCTGGTCTTGAACTCTTGGCCTCAAGTTATACTCCTGCCACAACCTCCCAAAGTGTTGGGATTACAGGCATGACCCACCATGCCCAGTTCTTCCTCCATCTTAAAGTGTGTCACTCTCCATGTTTCAGTACAACTTGGCATGCTTAACTAACTTGAAAATAAGTTCAGCAATCATACAATTTTCTTTACCCAGAAACTACCCAAAGGGAGAATTAAAACAGCAGTTTTCTACTTTGACAAACAAACTGATCGTTTTGGCTTTGGATATTTTAACATTGTGTGTGTATGTGTGTGTGTAACAATACAGAGAAAATCTAGGTGTGTTATTAGGTTACTGCAGAGGGCCATGCTTTTGAAGATGTGGTGTGACTTGATGGATTTTGACTGCTGTCTCTGTTCCTTGTCATTGAGTTGGTGATAACTCTTATCAACAGAAGTCCACAGCCAAGTGGTTAGCTAAGTGAGTCATTTGTGTATGACTCCCATTGGGAAGTGAGGAGATGGAGAAAAGCTGGATGAATGGAAAACAATGTGAGTTATGGTATTAATTTACAGGTCCTCTGTGTTTTGTGGGTTTTTTTTTTCATTGTTGTTTTATTCTGAAATTGGAGTTGTCTTTTCTTGTTGGTACAGAGGGGATTTGAATTCACACTCTGCCCTTCTGCATGACAACCCTTCTGGAAGCATAGTGTTCAAACAGGTGTGTGGACCTACTTCTAGACTCTCAATATGCTTCTTGTGAATGTTGTTCTTTCTCATGTATGTTGTATGGAGTCATAGGCCTCAGATGGCCCATGAAGAAAAATACTTTTTTGTGCCTCCCTAAATCATCCTAAATTCTTCATAAAATAGACTTTGGCCACTGAGTTTCTGGACTCATACCTCTGAGTCCTCCCCTTACAAAAGTGGTGAGTTTTAAAAACGGATTTAGTGTAAAAAAAAGAGGGCCTATGGGAGACCTCAGATGATTACTTTTATTTAAAGATCAATTAGAAACCAGCATTTGCTTACCAATGGACAATTTAAATAAAACAATGTTTACACTCCCAAACTTGACACTGATATTTGTATTCAATCATGGTACACAGAACATTTCTGCTTGAACACAGTGTCTGCCCTAGTTATCCATCCATT